GCCTCGTGGGCCCCACCCCCCCTAGCCCCCGAGTGCCGCTCCCGCCCTGCCGCCCTCTGGCCCCACCCCAAGTCGCCCACATCCGCGAGCTCAAAGGGTGAATAACCGCACAGCGACACACACCAGTGGTAGCCCCACCCCTCAATCAACAGAACACCACAGGCCTCGACACGCGTGCGTCACCACACGTCAAATCTCGCGCCAGATCGCAGGCCAGACCGCGCGCCTCCACACCCACCAGATGTCTGCGATCTTGCCGTCATACGTCTTGCCGCGCGTTGTGAGGATCACCTCTGGGGCCAGGTAGGCCGGGGTGCCCACGCGCGACCCCGGGGCTGACTGGAACTTCTCATGCTGTCATGTTTTGAAGGGGGGTGGGGGGCAGGGTGGTGGGGAGGGGAGGGGTGTTTTGGGGGTGCCGGTTGCATGCGTACTCAAGTGTGTTGTGCGTGCGTGTCGTACGCGCGTGTGTGGGAACACGGTTGAAGGGGGGCGCTTTGATTGCATGCGTGATTGTGACGGGGCACCGGGGGTGCTTCGCCGTCGAGGTAGGGGTGAAATACTCGTGGTGGGCGGCGCACATGCGGCCGGCACAACGCCTCCATGAGTGCGTGCGGCGTCTCTCTCTCGGAAATGGTTCCGTGGTGCCGGCGCCGCTCCCGCGCCAGACGGAGGCATGCGCACCCCACGGCTCACAAACACACGGACTCAGTTCCCGTGTGAGCCCCGAGGCCCGACTGCCAACCGCCACCCGCCGCGCCTCCGCCTCCCTTTCGCTTGGCCTTCCCCTGCCTCGAATCGAACGCACGCAGGCCCACCCCCTCACACACCCTCGCACACACTCTCTCACACACACACTCACAATCAACCCTCCTGCGCACTCCATCACGCTGACGCAATCACACATACACACTTGCCCACACTCACACACACACACACGCAGAGTACGCGCGCGCGCGTGTGTGTGTGTGTGTGTGTGTGTGTATGCTTGTGCGCGCGCACCTTGCTGTACCCGAAGTCGCAGATCTTGACCAGTGGCCGCGGGCTGCTGTCCAGCAGGGTGTTCTCCAGCTTGATGTCGCGGTTCACAACACCCTGGGGGGGGATGCGGTTTGAGTGCATGAGTGGGGGTGCGTGTGGGTGTGTGTGCGTGTGTGTGTGGGATGGTGCTTGCGTGTGTAGACTTGTGTGGATGTGTGTGTGTATGCGTGTGTGTGTGTGTGTGTGTGTGTGTGTGTGTTTTGCACATGCAAAGCGTGTTTGGGTGTGGGAGTGGGGTGTGGCGGGAGGGGACCAGCA